TTGAGCCAAAATAAAACGCATACATTCAGACACACAGAAAGACAGACGTCTCTCAAGAAGCCAGGTTTTGTTACCGAAGATATTACATTCACAGAGAGTTAATTCAATTCTAAAGCCGTAATGAAATAAGAGCGGGAGAATCTAATTTAACATCACTGCTGTTTTAAAACGCTTGAACAACTTCTCGAGGCGTTTTGTTTCGTCCGCGGTGAGCTGAGACACTGTGGCATTCATACCATTTCTCTCTCACATCCTGCCATCGATCCATCACTTACGGGTGGGGACCCTAACATAACAAGCTCTAGATATCAAAGCTTGGGACATCTGTGTTTTATATGTAAAGACCCTCAAAACACCTGTCGAAGTCCACACTCCACTTGACAAGTTTGACATTTCCAGAAAAAGCCATGCCGTGCAGTTTTTGTTTGTTTTCTGCCTTAGTGTCTTATATCTGATCAGATTTGGATCTAGTTACTCCTTAATCTACAGAATATTCAACAAAGACATTCATACATATTAAAAACACAGGAAGGAAGGGGGCGAAAGTTAGCAGGAAGGCTCTGTTAACACATTTCTTATTTCTAGTAGATTATTACATCTTTTTGCTTTTATTTCTCACTTATTTTGGCAATGTGAAACATGTTTCCTGATAGCAATAAAGAACAATTTAATTTAATTCAAAGGAAGCAGGACAACAAAAAAAGGAAAGATGAGGGGAACAAGTAAGGGAGAAAAGAAAGGAAGCGAGGATGGGAATTTAGGAAGAATGGAACAAATGATAGAAGGGAGGATAACGGGAAGAGTGTGTTGCTCTTCCGAACAATCGACCTGTTTTTGGTGTTTTTTGGCCTTACAGAGAGGCCGCGGCTCAGAGTGCTGACGAGAGGCTTAGCTGGTGTTGAGCCACTGTGGGCGGAGCGCTGTGAGGGGGGAGAGGGGTAGGATGGGGGGGCTGTACTGCCCTCTGACACGACCCTGTCAAATGAGAGAGGAACCAACACGTAGGTCTGCCAAAAAAAGCTCAGGTGAAGGTAAGACACTAATTTGGTCCGCTTCAGTCTCTGTATTTATTCACACTGTGTGCACTTTATTGGATTCTACTTTTACAACTGTTTACCCAACGCTGTGCTTTTACACATACACTACACATGGCAACAAGGCGTCAGGACGTGTTTATCTCCTAACCGGTGGGACAAAAACTAAATAATCTCTAACAGAAGCTTGTTAAATCTTCACCTTGTTTAGCAGTGTGGCGCACTACATGGCATACAACAGGTATTCTAGAAATTCACCTGGACAATGTGCTCCCAGCAGCCATTCAGTGCGGCTAAATGAGCGACACCTTTCACAGCCAACACAGACAGAGGCTCACATTCATCACACACACACACCGAGGACAATACACATACTGATAATAATAGAGAGTGTATTCCGGTAAGAGTAATAATGAATCATAGCAGTACAGACATCAGAAACATGTAGTATATTATCACATTTAAAGTGAAAGACAACTAAATGATAAATATGAGTAATAACTAACTCTTTTTAAATAACATCTATTTTCAAAAGACTCACCTGTGCCTTATTATAGTTACGTTCATGTTGGTTCAGTGTGTTGATTTGTTTGCCTATTAGTCAGGAGGATTGTGGAAAAACTACTGGCCCAATTTTCATTAGACTTGGTGGAAGGGTGCATTATGGGACAAAGAAGAACACATTTGATTTGGTCGGCTACAATATTTGTTTTTTCTTGTTTTGTGAACATTTCGAGATAAAGTCATATGGATTTGGTGAAGGTCTGCTCTCTCTGAGTCCCCTTCTAAGTTTTTTTTTTTTACGAAATACAGTGAAACTGAGCAATTAGAACCACAAACACATGGGTAATTTGACATAACAAACCTCACACAAGTCAGGGAATCCTTAAACTGATGATCAGTCAAAGTTGCAGTACTGACACACATATTAAATACAAGTCTGCTTGTGTTAACCTGCCCAACAACTTGAATGGAGCTTTAAGAACCGACTCTCATTCAGTATTGCACTGCCCTCAAGTGTTCAAAGTTGAAAGCTTGTATTGTGTTTTACAGGATGACCGTATCTGTACTGTATTACTGTAGACTACTTGGTTGAATATTATTGAAAACAGCATAAATATCATGGTATAATTTAAATGATAGTAGCAGGAGTTATTGTACCTGTCATTCTGTGGACTGTTTACAGGTAATGAGTCAGGAGAGAGGGTCAACTGAGAAGAATGAACATTTGTCATCGGTGAGTAAACTTTAGGAAGATAAACCGTCATCGTAAACACGTCCAACTGTCCATATGCTCACACAAAACAAAACTACTTTTAGAAAGAAAACCTGTACTGTCTTTAAATGACTGTAAAGCAACTGTAGCAATGTTTGTTGTTTTTCAAGTCACTGATGCGTTCATAACAGATAAGGTGCTTCCTCAGGAAATCCTCAGCACAGCTTACATAAATAAATACAACTGTCATTTGTTATAGTATTATTTATAGGTAGGAATAGAGCTACAATTTTAACCTTAAAGTAGGCAGTTTAAATGACCTAACCCAAATATAAACAACTTACAATGCTTGCATCAGGCAATTAATGTTTACTGCTAAATAGTTCAATTATAAATGAATTAATAAACACATTTTCGTTGATTGATGTTCTGCGAGTTGACCAGTCAAACAATAATGTCAGCACTTTCTCAGGCCAGCGCAATTACAGATAATTATTTTGTATCTGCTAAGAGAGTATGTTCATAACTGAGGAAATGTTACCCAAAAAGTTGCTTTGTTTGTTACTATTAGAATTATTATTGTAATAAACAAGCTCACACTGTCCATGTTGTATATTCAGTCAGTTACGACATTTTGATACAGCCTTTAAGATGTGGTACTATATTATGAAATGTTCTAATTCTGACTGGTATATAAGTATGTTACAAATAGAAAACTGACCAAAATAAGTAAATGTTATCAAATATACAATGCTTATTAAATTAATTGTTGAGAGTACAGTAAACAGACTGGATATGGATGTTAATGCATTCATCTATTCATAAGGAACTGCTTTGAAAGAAAAAAACATTGGACTTACTCTTTATCCCAAATGTTCAGTTGGCAGTAGATGGCTGTCAGGTCCTGTAAGTAAACAATAAAATAGATAATTATTTGTCTTAATCAACATGTATAGCCTTCTAAAAAAGAACACAGTGAAAATGTTCTTTAATATACAGTATTATTGCTATTTTCGTAGCATTTGTGTGTTGCATTTTGACAAAGTAATGTATTCATAATCGAAGTTTAATTAACAAAGAATGAGCTTCAAAGTAAAAGTGCTAATTATGCAGAATGAGTCATCAGAAAGTGTACCTACTTAATTATTATGTTACTTTATAGTATTACAGTATACAACAAAGGCATATTCTTTTGTATCACTAATAAAATACATGAAAGAGTATTCTTCAGTAGTAGGCTACTGGCTGGATTAGTAGGCTACTAAAAGTAGGCTACTGCATATCATATTAAACATATCATAAGTTAAAATGTCTCCAATATATATATTTTTTTTTTAAAGGACGTTGCCCAAATGAAACGTTTACAGAACAGTTAGCTAGTTAGCTGTCATTAGCTTTTCCTATAACGCCTTGTTAAGAAACTAAAACACTGCACTGTTTGTTATAATGTTGATATATTCTTTACATCTCGAAACCAATATGCTCAGACAAAAAAAAGCCAGTTCCAGTGGATCGATTGGCTGAATTAATTGGAAGCTAAAATGTCGCCTACCTGCGCAGTCTTTTTGTAGCCAACAAACTATTTTTTCGGTTGGATGTTTTTATAAATCTAGCTTCATCTTGCTGGCTTTTCCACCCTTACAAATGGACGCTAGTAGCATTACACCATAAACTCAGCCTCACCTGGTTCATAATTGTGTGTGGTGACCCAGATACACAGTGGTTTGCTAGTTTAGCCCTTCCTTTTACTTACCGAAGTACGACATATTCTGATGAACTAAAAGCCGTCTTCCTTCGCTGAAACATCCTCTTCTCTTACTTATCCCACCTGTGAATATACTCTAGCTTGTATCAGCTGACTGAGGAAAACAGGCACCTGTAAGGTGAGTAGTTGTTTAGGAAACAGGGAAACAGAAATAAAGCGAGTGTAGAAAGTCCTCCCCCAGAAAAAAAAACCGCTGGGATCATTTGAAACCATACATTATATATCAAAGTTTAAAAGGCAGTAATATATCATCTGTGTTTCACTTTTATTTGTAAATTGGGGGTCTTCTACTTCAAATTAAGAATACATTGTTAATATAATTGATCACACCACAGGAAATTCGGTTTTCCTTTTTTTTAGACATCTGATGGCTGCAAGATTTGAGTAATTGTTAAAACTTTAGGTAGAATTCCTTCAACAAAAACATATAAAAACTACATCTGTGGTGTTAACTTGTAATATCTATCATTAGATAAATATGAATATAGAAACTATAAAGTGAAGTTATGTATGCATTCAACTGTTTGGACTGTAATTGACTTACACTGATCTAGTCTACCTTTGTGTACATTTATATTTAAACATTGTTATTCTTTATTTGTCACTGAGTATTATACAATATACATTGTGGTATTTCATTTCTTACCTTAATGCAAATCTGAGTACTTCTTCCTGACAACATCATTTAGATTGAACTATTTTCTGTATAAAAAAATATTATTTGACATAGTTGACAGTGTGAATCCTACTGAAAGAATAGTTATCACATGTCACCACCCATATCCCTGCATGCACGTGTTGGCATGTATGGCTGTGTACAAAGCATGTACATGTGTATGGCCATATGTACTACTGTATGTACCATCTGGACCCCAGAGCACTGTGTCAGACGCCTCTTGTCCTCACTATAGTTGGAGTCACCATCAGCACATTTTCAGCTTGTGTAAACACAATAAGAGCAAGGGTCACCCTCAGGTCACAAACACTGTCAGTGGCTTTCATAGTGGCTCTATGAAAGTTTGATTTTGACTGACACTAAAGCAACTCTGTGGACACAAGGATTCGTCTCTGTTTAAACTAGAAAAGAGAAACAAAAAATTACAACATTAATTTACTTGCTCTCAGATGTCAAAGTGTGGAAGCTTTCCTGGTGAGTTATTGACTACTTGTTTGCCTCGATACGAGGGCTGTTTCAGTTTGAGCAGTGATGTTGTAACTTCAGTCCTCCATGGAGTCAGTGTCATGTGAGAGCTGGGGATTGTGTTTTATGAAAGATTGATATTTTGTGTTAAGTCTTGCTACGGAAAGTTATTGCATTTAGAGTGTTTTATTGTGAACAAAATGTCTCCGTTTGCTGTTGTACCTTGCAGCTTTTTGTCTCACATTTAAAGCAACATATATCCAGTTTCCAGATGACACTGCATGGTTCAAAATATGAGAAGTGACTGGGAAAAAAAGACCAATGATGCTTAACAAAGCTAGCAGTGTTTGACATTGAATAAAGTGATATTTTGAATGCCACATGTGTCACGATCTGTCTGTATTGTATTTTGTCTTGTCTTTTTCTGTCTTTTGTTTCATGTTTTATTTTGAAAGGTCTTCACCTCCTGTCTTGCCTGTTTCTGTCTGCGTTGTGTCTTGTTTAAATCTGTCTGTGGTTCCCTGTCGTTAGTTTCCCTGGTGTGTCTAATTTACCCGATTGTGTTCACCTGGTGTCCCTGTGTTTTCTCCTCCCTCCTCACCTGTGTCTTGTTTGTGTGATTAGTCTTGTGTGTATTTAAGTTCTGGTTTTTCTGTCTGTCTTTGTCGGTTCGTCTTGTGTCATGACTAGTTCGTCGGTGAATGTTCTGTTTTGTCTTTGTTTATCACCTAGCCTTCAAATAAAGGAATTTTCACTTTCATCTGCATTTGGGTCATGCCTGCTTCACACACCGTAACATTACGAACCGACCAACAAATGGACCCAGCAGATCTATGGGAGGTAGAATTACAGCATTTTACCTTCTATCTGGCTTGCTGCTTCGATTGGTGGAAGGGAGCGTCCAGTGTTCGGCAGAAGAGGGCCGCTCTGGTAGAGGCGCACCGGTTGGCAGCAGAGAAACTATGTTTTGTGGAGTTCTTACCTGACTGGATTTTGGACTTCCTTGAAACATGTGATTCCCGGCCTGCTAGCCCCAGGCATGCTAGCTCCATGTCTCCCAATTCCCAACCTGGCACCATACGCCTTGGTGGGTTCGGCCTGAAGTCAACCCGTGCTTCTGCCCCAGTTCCTGCTCCTGTCCAGGAGTTGTATTCCGGAACTCGTCTGGCTTATGGAGGTCCACAGAGTATTCAGGCGGCTGCTAAGAGGAGTCGTCGCAAAGCCAGGCTAGCAGCCCGAGCCCCAGCAGCCATGGTTCCGGCTACAGAACCGGCCCCAGCAGCCATGGTTCCAGACCCTGTTCTGGCCCCAGCAGCCATTGTTCCGGCCCCAGTTCTGGCCCCAGCAGCCATGGTTCCAGCCCCAGTTCTGGCCCCAGCAGCCATGGTTCCAGCCCCAGTTCTGGCCCCAGCAGCCATGGTTCCGGCCCCTGTTCTGGCCCCAGCAGCCATGGTTCCAGCCCCAGTTCCGGCCCCAGTGCTGGCCCCAGCAGCCATGGTTCCGCCCCCAGTTCTGGCCCCAGCAGCCATGGTTCCGGCTTCAGTACCGGCCCCAGAAGCCATGGGCTCGACTCCAGTTTCGGCTACAGGGCTGGCTCCCCAGCCGACGCCAGCTCCCCGAGTCTTGTCGGCGTACCAGCCGACTCCAGCACCTAGTCTCCTGCTGGCTCTCCAGCCGACGCCAGCTCCCCGAGTCTTGTCGGCGTACCGACCGACTCCAGCACCTCATCTTCTGCTGGCTCCCCAGTCGACGCCAGCTCCCCGAGTCTTGTCGGTGTACCGGCCGACTCCAGCACCTCGTCTCCTGCTGGCTCCCCAGACGACGCCAGCTCCCCGTGTCCTGTCGGCGTACCGACCGACACAAGTCACCTCTCAAGTCCCCTCTCAAGTTTCCCCTCTAGTCTCCTCTCGAGTCCTCTCTCAAGTTCCCTCTCATGTCCCCTCTCAAGTCACCCCTCCAGGTCCTACCCGAGTCCCCTCTCAAGTTCCTACCCGAGTCCCCTCTCAAGTTTCCTCTCAAGTCCCCTCTCGAGGCCCCTCTCAAGTCTCCTCTCGAGCTACCTCTCGAGTCCCCTCTCAAGTCACCCCTCCAGTTCTCTCTCGAGTCCCCTCTCGAGTCATCTCTCAAGTCTCCTCTCAAGTTCCCTCTCGAGTCCCCTTTCAAGACACTTCTCAAGTTCCCTCTCGAGTCCCCTCTCAAGTCACCCCTCCAGTTCCCTCTCGAGTCCCCTCTCGAGTCCCCTCTCGAGTCATCTCTCAAGTTTCCTCTCAAGTCTCCTCTCTAGTTCCTTCTCGAGTCACCTCTCCTGGGCCTTCTCAGGTCTCCTCTCGAGCTACCTCTCAAGCCTCCTCTCCAGTTTCCTCTCCAGTTCCCTCTCAAGTCTCCTCTCGAGTTCGCTCTCTAGTCCCCTTTCAAGTCACCCCTCCAGTTCCCTCTCGAGTCCCCTCTCGAGTCCACTCTCAAGTCTTGTCTCCAGTTCCCTCTCAGGTTCCCTCTCGAGTTCCCTCTCAAGCCCTCTCTCGAGTTCCCACTCAAGTCCCTGTTCAAGTACCGTTGGAGGCCCCGCCGACTACTCTCCTGCCGGGGGTCCTGCCAAACCTATGTCCTGTCCCGTTGGAGGTCCCGCCGTCTACTCTCCTGCCGGGGGTCCTGCCAATCCTATGTCCTGTCCCGTTGGAGGTCCCGCCGTCTACTTTCCTGCCGGGGGTCCTGCCAATCCTATGTCCTGTCCCGTTGGAGGTTCCGCTGGGGATCCTGCCAGCTCCTTGTCCTGTCCCGTTGGGGGTCCTGCCGACTACTCTCCTGCCGGGGGTCCTGCCAACCCTATGTCCTGTCCCGTTGGGGGTCCCGCCGACTACTCTCCTGCCGGGGGTCCTGCCAACCCTTTGTCCTGTCTCGTTGGAGGTCCCGCAGTCTACTCTCCTGCCGGGGGTCCTGCCAATCCTATGTCCTGTGCCGTTGGAGGCCCCGCCGACTACTCTCCTGCCGGGGGTCCTGCCAACCCTGTGTCCTGTCCCGTTGGAGGCCCCGCCGACTACTCTCCTGCTGGGGGTCCTGCCAACCCTTTGTCCTGTCTCGTTGGAGGTCCCGCCGTCTACTCTCCTGCCGGGGGTCCTGCCAATCCTATGTCCTGTGCCGTTGGAGGCCCCGCCGACTACTCTCCTGCCGGGGGTCCAGCCAATCCTATGTCCTGTGCTGTTGGAGGCCCCGCCGACTACTCTCCTGCCGGGGGTCCTGCCAACCCCATGTCCTGTTTCGTTGGAGGCCTCGACATCACATGTCTCGCCAGGGGTCCTGCTAACTCCTTGTCCTCTTCCGTGGGGAGTCTTGCCGACACCGGTTCCACTGGCTCTGGTTACTGTCCGGTCAACACCGGCTCCTGCCCGGTCCCCTGAGAGCTGTGGTCTTCGCCCCTCCTCGAACTCTGCCTTGCCCCCCGGTCGTCCGCCCGAGAACCCCTTTTTTAACTCTGCCTTGCCCCCGGGCTGTCCGCCCGAGAACCCCTCCTTGAACTCTGCCTTGCCCCCGGGCCGTCCGCCCGAATACCCCTTTTTGAACTCTGCCTTTCCCCCGGGCCGTCCGCCCAAGAACCCCTTTTTGAACTCTGCCTTGCCCCCGGGCTGTCCGCCCGAGAATCCTTCCTGGTCCTCTGCTGTGCTCCTGGGGGGGGTACTGTCACGATCTGTCTGTATTGTATTTTGTCTTGTCTTTTTCTGTCTTTTGTTTCATGTTTTATTTTTGAAAGGTCTTCACCTCCTGTCTTCCCTGTCGTTAGTTTCCCTGGTGTGTCTAATTTACCCGATTGTGTTCACCTGGTGTCCCTGTGTTTTCTCCTCCCTCCTCACCTGTGTCTTGTTTGTGTGATTAGTCTTGTGTGTATTTAAGTTCTGGTTTTTCTGTCTGTTTTTGTCGGTTCGTCTTGTGTCATGACTAGTTCGTCGGTGAGTGTTCTGTTTTGTCTTTGTTTATCACCTAGCCTTGAAATAAAGGAATTTTCACTTTAATCTGCATTTGGGTCCTGCCTGGTTCACACACCGTAACATTATGCTTGTGTTTTATTGACTTATCTTGACATATGTTGTATTGTTTATGCCTAAATCCCCCAATGTCTACTTGATGGTGTCTATTTCCACACAGAGAGGGAGGCCAATGTGCAGTAATGGCTATGGTATGCCTGACAGACTTCGAGGAGTATGCTAAGGAGCATCTCTCAAAGGCCACCTGGGATTATTATGCAGCTGGAGCGGATGAGTGCTGCACCAGGGACGACAATATCCTGGCTTTCAAAAGGTACAGTGGGAACAATGAAGTCTACCCAGACATTCAAGGTCACCATATACATGTATGCGGTGCTAGCTCACCTGTCCTAAATTAATCATTGGGGATTGAAATAATTTATGTTAGGAAAGTTCTTATACCAAAAGTGGAGATCACATTAGGGATAACGCTTGTAACACAAGGAAAGGTTTTATGGACTTTAGACTGACTCATTTCTAATTAGATATTAAAGTATGTGTAAATGTGTGCCTTATAATAACTAGCAGGCAGTTACATTTGCTGAGTATTGATGCCAAGTCAACTCCCTGTGGTTTATAAATGTTTTTAACCCATTGACCATCTTTTTTCTTTTCTCTTTGTGAATTCCTCTCAGCTTTCCTAATGTCTCCATAAAGACAGAAAGTTCTGCTTGTCCTCACTGTGATAGATCTGTACATATTTGTTTGCAGGTGCATTCGGGGTCAGGTTAAACATTTTCCCCTGCAGGAATAAAGGTTGGACCTTGTCTTGGAAACATTTTCTCAAGCCATAGCTTTGGGAAAACAGAATCCCAGAAAATAAATATGACTTGTCGAGCAAAAGCAGCATGTTGTCATCTCAAGGATAACTGTATTTGACAATACCGGATAGTACGATTTTGCAATGCTTTGTCAACAGGTTGGTTTGGTTCCATGGAAACTTGACATCCTCTCATGAATCTGGGTCACAGCCATTTTTTAACAATACAATTTAACGTAAAGCTTCTACTAGCAAATATGAATAAATATAAATAAGAGGAAGACGACTACCAGGCTTGGAATTTCGTCATTTTAGGGGCAAGGCCATTTGGCCTTCCCGTTCACATTTTTTTTAAGGGCACAAAGGCCACATGACAGGGCACAAAGGCCGTTTGGTTAAATTACGCTGGTCAATCAACATGACTGAAAAGTGTAGCACTAACGTCAACACCAGTCGTTTTACAAATGGCTGAATAGCAATAGTGTTTCTTTAACGTATACGTTAAGTTCAGCCATAAACCACATAAGTCAGTCATGTATTATATCAAAACCGCTTAGCAAGAAAAATACTAGATTCAAAGGTGACAGCTATCTGCTAGCTTGTAGAAGCAACACTAGATGTAGACCCCTTGAAGGGAAGACGTTAGCGCTATCCAAACTAGCTAGCTATCGCTAGTTTTCATGACAAAATGTAACGAGTCAACTTTAAATAGGCTAATACAATGGTAATTACCTATCAATAGTACTTTCTATAAACACGTAAATGTTAAGTCCTTTCAAATACTACCACATACTTCAGTTAAATCATATCAAAACAGCTTGGTCCGCTTGCTTACCTGTGCTTGTCTTGCTCCCGCGGCTGAGGAGGAGGCTGTCGGGCCCCTACAGGCATTTCTGACGGAACAATCACAGCAGAGCAATCGCTCTGATCCACAGGCACGGGACTATCCTACTGCGCGCACTAGTATGACTTCACTAGCGTTGTTTACACTGGAACTTTTGACAGGGGCACCAAGGCCACTTTGGCCGTGAATTGCATTTTTTTTCACAGGGCATCACGGCCAAAGTGCGGGGCAACGACGGCCATGGCCGTCGTGGCCGTCGTGAAATTCCCACCCTGAAGACTACCCGTTATTGTTACATTTGGTGTTATTGTCCACATGTTCATCTGTTTCTCACACTCCCTCAGGATCCGTCTGAGGCCTCGTATCCTGCGGGATGTGTCGATGAGCGACACGCGGACCACAGTGCAGGGAACAGAGATCAGCTTCCCTGTTGGTATCGCACCGACTGCCTTCCACTGCCTGGCCTGGCATGAAGGAGAGGTGGCCACAGCAAGAGGTACAAAGCCTTTTTAAAAACCTGTTTTCTTATGGAGCTTGTTAGTAGGGATTGTGAGACCTTTTTCATAACACATAATATGTTTTTTTAAGTTCCTGAAAAGTTAGAATTTTGGAGACACAGGGTTTTTTTATCCTATAACAATGTTGGTACGATTGCCACCACTAGATGGGAGAATAACGTTGTATGAATCTTGTGTTGTAAAGAAAAGACTGGGTTGTTCTTTTGTCTGTAAGAATAATAAGGAAAATTGATTTTACGTTTTTTAGGTTTGTTTTAAAATAAGTACATTGATTACATTGTTTAAGTTACTGATGTAAATTAAAATGAGTTATAATGACTTTTTGTTTTACATGGGACACAAACAGCAGAGTACTTTTCGGGTGTTTGTTTGACCCTTCAATCCAACCCAAATTCTGTACATTCTGTAATATGTAAAACACTGGAAACCGGACAATTGACAACTGACATTTTTAGGGGACCAAACTGATGCATTCACTCCTCGCTGACCACATTAATAACTTCTCTACTTCCGTCTCACAGGCACAGAGGCTCTGAACACCTGCTACATCACCAGCACTTACTCCACCTGCTCAGTGGAGGAGATTGTGGCAGCGGCACCAAACGGTTACCGCTGGTTCCAGCTGTACGTGTACCGGGACCGGAAGCTGTCTGAGCAGATTGTGCACCGTGTGGAGGGGCTCGGCTACAAGGCCCTGGTCCTCACTGTCGACGTCCCCTACACCGGGAAGCGCCGCAACGACATCCGCAACCAGTTCAAGCTGCCGCCACACCTCAAGGTCAAGAACTTTGATGGAGTGTTCCAGGTAACTGTTTTATTAAAATATTCCACATACTCTTAAAAATGTAACAGCAAGAACATGTAATAACAAGCAACTTAAAGGTCCCCTATTATACTGTTTTTCATTACTTTATTATAAGTCTCAGATATATACAAAACATGTCTCTGAAGTGTTTGGCTCCAAACACCAAACAGATCATTGCAGCATCCCATAATCCCCTCTGTTTCAGCCCTGTTTCAAAAGTGCTGATTCTCTGTCCGTTACTTTAGATGAAAATAAGGGGCCACTCCCCACGCCCCTCTGAGAGAGATTTGGTTAAAAAGAACACAATGGTGATATGGGACGAGATTCAGGTGATAAGGTGTGTGTGGGGGGGGGGGGGGTTACCTTGGTTGGTGATTGGCTAATGGTTACACAAGACAAAATATCGTTATGACATCATAAAGTGGCCAAAATCTGATCAGCTCATTTTCAGACAGATATTTATATAAATGGATCAGGAGAAAAAGAGAGAATCTTTTTTCCTGAAACTTTCAGAATCTCTTTCCACAGAGGGGACACATGTTGATGTAGAAGAGACATGAAGAAGAGGGGACACATGTTGATGTAGAAGAGACATGAAGAAGAGGGTACACATGTTGATGTAGAAGAGACATGAAGAAGAGGGGACACATGTTGATGTAGAAGAGACATGAAGAAGAGGGGACACATGTTGATGTAGAAGAGACATGAAGAAGAGGGGACACATGTTGATGTAGAAGAGACATGAAGAAGAGGGGACACATATTGATGTAGAAGAGACATGAAGAAGAGGACTTTGCATAATAGGTGACCTTTAATATATACTTTTTAAAACATAAGCAGGAGGCTTCAGTCCCAGAGGATTATGGGATCCCAGCCAACACCTTGGACCCCTCCATCAGCTGGAAGGACGTGTACTGGCTGCAGTCCATCACTCACCTGCCCATCATCATCAAGGGGATCCTGACCAAGGAGGACGCCGAGCTGGCTGTGGAGCACGGCGTGCAGGGCATCATTGTGTCGAACCACGGGGGGAGACAGCTGGACGGAGGCCCCGCTTCGGTACATATTCACTCATTTACTTCTTAAGTTACATTGACTATAGTTTTGTTTCCAATTTAATGTAAGATCTCTGCCAAGTGTGTCTGTCTAGACTCTACAGTACCATATCAGTAAAAGTTTAATTGAATTAATACAAACCACAGTTGTCTTACTTTGGTGGGTTAATCTGGACAGTCTAAACTAAAGCAGTTGTTAATCCTTTGTAGCTCATAGAGTCAGGAGTAAATGACAGTATATGTACTCGCTGCCCAAACCCTCTTTCAGAATAAAAGAGTGAAATAAAAGGTCCAATTTGAAGAGTAGTACAAAAACAAATTTGAAACACATCTACACTTTGCATTTGTTTGTTTAATAAACATTTTCCATGTTACACCGTCCCGTGTTGCTCACAGATTGACGCGCTGACGGAGATCGTGGACACGGTTCAGGGCAGGATCGAGATCTATCTGGACGGAGGCATCAGGACAGGAAGTGATGTTCTGAAAGCGCTGGCCTTGGGAGCCAAGTGTGTTTTCATTGGCCGTCCAGCAGTGTGGGGCCTTGCATACAAGGTACAAGCAGCAACACTGATCACCACTCTTCTGACAGCTTTACTCTACACCCACCACGATAAGGCTCCACACACTAAGCCATTGTCCTTGGCAGCTTGAGTTTATCCTTGAAAGTCATTGAAACTATTGGAGCTACAGGACCTCGGTGTAAAGTTTACAGAGAAAATGTGTCCTGTACCGTTTGCAACTCGTAGAGCTGCTATGCTCTCTGAACTCAAAGTAATAATGGTGCTGTGTGATATTTCAGGGTGAGGAAGGAGTGAGGGAAGTGCTGCAAATCCTTAATGATGAGTTCCGTCTTTCCATGGCTTTATCAGGTAAGAGATTGATTAATTTCATTATTAAAAAAAGAATTAAATTGCAGTTATTGCATATACAACATCTCAAAAGATGGAAACACAAGATTGAATTTGTATTGTTGTTCTCTTTGTGTGTGTAGATGTGAGGTTACGACTGAAAAATATAACTTGCAATATACTATATAAAATAAGCAATATCCTGTCTGACGTTTTTAAATGTATCTGATCCAGGTTGCAGGAACGTGGCCGAGATCAACAGGAACCTCATTCAGTTATCTAAACTCTGACACACCAGCAGAGGGCAGCACAGAGGACAATAGCACCCACTGAACAGGACTGAACCAAATATTGAACAAGCACCTGAGACTCCATGGTGACAACGAAACTGAAAGACTTAACCTCAGAGTCATGACTTTATCATGGCAGGAAACATACAAAACAGCTTCATGCCAGGGTGTGAGAGTGAGACTGCAACGGAAAGTTAAGGGTCTGAGGCAGATTCAACAAGTGAATAATGAGGGTTTTTTGGGGGGAGTAGAGGCACTTCTCATGAAACCTACAAGTGTTTGGGGTTTTATTGTAACAAATGCAACTGATCATGACATATACTACAGTTTAAGACGCTGCCAGTGATTGTAGTTAAATAAACGCCAGCTGAAATTGATGAATATTTGTTGTTTTTCTTCTGGATTTGTATGATGATAACAGACAGGCTGATTAGCAGATGTCTGTCTTTTATTTATCTTTGTTTCCCAACTTAATACTCATCACATTTACATGGGCAATCAATCGGTTTAAATGGTAAGAAGATTCAAATGCAGTATTGTTTTCAATCTCTTATATTCATACATCAGCTAAAGGTCAAGGCCCAGCTAAAGATAGAAAAAAAAGACCGTTTGGTTTTGTCTTTGCATTCTGTTGAGTAACATGTTTTCAACTTTCATCCAGTAAAAATATAAGAATGAAGGATCATTTTTGAGAACATTCCTCCACATTTAAGGCCTGCTAGTGTGCCTTTATGCCAAATTCAAAACCTTTGAAACAGCTGGTGATACTTTTTGCTGCTGATTTCACTAACAGTATCACAAGTGTGTCACACTGGTGTGAGGAGATGCAAGAAGGCGCACCCTGAGAAAGAGAAGTAGCACAGGAAGTGACTGAGGTCTCGGTTTAGGCAAAAAAAAGTTGATGCTCACGCAAACGCTTCAACTCTCCGAGCAGCTGGTGCAGAGCAGCAGACATTTCTCTGCTGAGTTCTTCTCACAGATCGGGCTGTTAAGACATACAGGCTGGAGGGAGGCCTGGGGTCCGGGCTGCTGAGGAAGCTTTCTTCCAGGTAAGTCCTCAACAGGTGATTCTGTGTGTTTTAGATCTGGATCCATGTGACGCACCTGCAGCAGGGAACAGTACATGACAATAAGTATACCTCAAATTCATATTTGTCTATTTAAACTGCAGTGAGGTACATTCAGGCTGCAGTGATGTACATAATTGTATTAATTTGTATCAGGTTTTGTAGAGATTTATAATTAAACTGTCACAGGATCAGCTTTATCGGCCAAGTACGTGCACAAACATGAACGGTTTGACACCAGTTTCAAATGTCTCTGAAAAATTTACAGGACGATGGAAATACACACAGCGAAAAAACAAGACAAGGTTAAAACGACAACTATGTACATACAAAGTATTTTAGTACAAACATACAATGTCTACATAATGTGTATATAATAGTGCAAAGGCATAAATATTAAATGCGTACAGTAGGTATATTACTTTGAATACATAAACATACATGTATGTACTATATGTCTATATTCAGTGTGCAGGATTTATAGAGGGTATTGTATTTAAAACTGCAAATAAATAATGTTTAGGTTAGTGGATATTGACACTATAACTGATCATCACTAACATCATAATGATACGTTGAAAGAAACTTGAGTGCGCTCACACAAATACCTAAATTAAATCACTTCTTGAATAAAAAAGAGACATATTGTTTATTGTAAGAGGTGATTTAAGGTAGGCCTAGTTGCATGATGTGGGATCCCATTAGCTGATGCACTTCTCAGGGTCCACATATGAACATAACCTAATAACATGAAGACATGTCAAGATTCATTTCATTTCAAACCTTTATTTATACAGATAAATCCCATTGAGATCATTGATCTCTTTTTCAAGGGAGACCTGCTCAAGTAGTTCCACATGAAACATAAAAACATAAATAGAACAACAAAAGGACATCATACAGCATCATTTACATAATTATCCACATAAACAGGTAGCTTCCGATTGACTAGCATCCAACCGAGCTTTAAAAACATTTAGTGGCACCAGATTGTTCAGTTTCCATTTAATTTGCAGACTATTCCAAGACAGAGGAGCCACTGAAACCTGGCAGCTCGCTGAAAACAAAATAACAGGAAATAGCAAGTAGATGTAAAACTGTAATACTATTAAAGTCCTTTTATGATGTAATGATGCTACATTACGTGTTGTCAAAAACAGCACTTTTTCCACTTGAGTAATTATGTGTGGTCGGCAGAAACTGTCACCTTTTTTAAAATTGCGTTCAAACAAACAAGTCTCTCAGACCGCAATAACGTGACAAATATTATCACAGAAACGCTGAAGCTGTACAAAGATGAACGGGGGATCTAATTGAACAATTAAAAACTGCAATAAGAACAATACATTGCTAGATTAAGGTCACTAAAGGTAGATGACAAATAATTAGCGAGCATAAAAAAGATTATTGGTCATTATTTTTGTCCAATTATGCACATTTATTTGTTTAACCCTTGTGTTGTGTTCGAAAGCTGTTACCGTTCATGGTGTTAGCTGGTCAATTTTGACCCATGATTTATCTGAGTCCAAAACACACACAAATAATGACTATCATCCAATATTGTTTGAACTACATCATAACTAACTAATTATGCATTCATAACCGTACAATCCTGTTATTTTATTTTATGGCCCAAAACTCATTACACCACATATTGCCCACGTGAATGTGTGTGTTCAGGTTCAAGTGTTAGTGCACATATTCTTTGAGAAAGGTGGAGTTCCCGTGGGGGGAGGGGGGCAGAGGGAGGGGAGACCAGGTGCATGTAGTGAAAAATGATTGTTACAGTGGATGAAAGGGGGAGGGGAGGGGTGTCTAAAGTCAAAAATGAATCTTGATTGGGCCAAATTTGACCCCGAGTCACCCCAACAATTCTTCTGGGTCTCCCCAGACCCGAACACCAAATGATACACTTTATTTTTTAGAGACCTTCAGACTTGGCTAAAATTGTCAAAATCTGTTTTGTAGTGTTTATATATCTGTTGTGGAGGATATCATGAAGCCTTGTTCCGATAAAAAAAAAACTAGAGCGTAGTAATTATATCATTTGAACTTGAAACGGGTCACGGGAGAACCGAACACAACATAAGGGTATAGGAATGATTCTGCAGCTGAATGACCACAATGTCTGTGAAATGTCTGATTGTATCTAATGATTAACTTCAAACGAGGATGTGCTAAATGGATGCTGACATTATAAATAAAACCTCACAAAATTCACTTTGATCCACAACCATTAAAACATGTGATATGACGTGTATGCTGTTCGTAAGGGAAAGGTCTAAAAGTATTTAGAAAATGTCTGGAGTCTGTCTTTCAACGAGCGAGGCCACAGCAAACACAGAATTGATCACAGTGTAGAAAAGAGAACATCACAACAGGAAGAATGACCTTATACAGAGTCTATGCAGAGAGTCACATATTCTCAAAGATGAGTCATTTCACAGAGGAGATATTTCTGTTTACCATGGATGACCTTTTCCTGTAATGCTTTTCTTTTGGGCTGAAAAATCATCACATTATCTTTTATTTTGTATTTCATCAAATCTATTTCCGTCCACTTCAACTTGTATGTGTCTCCAGGAAGTCTCATCAGCGTAACCAGCGTCCTCAACCACAAGAGGCTAAGGAAATGGGGTAAGCTGTTTTTATATTTCAATATTTCTCCTCTTGTTCAAATATTTGCCATAATTCAACCCTTGTATTTTATTTTCAGAATTATTTGAGGGTTTATAGATTTGTTGAATTAGAGGAGTTCCCAGTCATGAGGTTTCAAACACAAACACTCAAATTAAAGAGTCTTAAAAAATAAGACACAATGCTCAAACATTTTCTCTGAGTATTAACAAATGAAAAAATATATACTTTCCTGAATTTGGTTAACACCTTTTAATATGTGTTTGTTTTCTTTCTCAGAGTATTGTTTTTGTTTGACCTTACTGTATGTGAGTAGCTTGTCAGGAAATAGTTTAAAGAGGAGAAGTGGTCGACTTTACTGGTTCCTCCTTTTCAAAACACTGAACACAAAACCAATGAGTGACTTTTGTAAGCTGCTGGTCTGTAGCACGAATCTCCATTTATCAAATTATTCAAATCGTTTAAGGCCATGCAAGTATTTAAGGTCTGCCAAAAATAACTGAAGGAAGTGGTATTTGTAAACTAAATTAAGTGTCAAACTGCCCTTACAGTTAATGACACTTTTCAAATAAATCATGTTGACAGCTTTCAGATTCAGAATCAGGGGACAATGCATAAAAAGCTAAATAAAACGAGTAGGCTAACATAATACATACGGAAGCAAAGATTCAAGTCATAGCTGTAGTAATGGCAATCTTATTATACATCTTAAGTCCTCCAACAATACAACATAAATATATATATATAAGACATAAAACAATAAACAATGGTGCAAGAAGAGACAGAGTAGAAATTAAATAGTGCAAGACAATGCTGCAAGACCAATGTGCAAGAAATGCAGGATACAAACACTCAATAATCAAATACAAATCCATAAAGCTTATATGATTATAGGAATGACAGCATAGTTATTGATGTCACTAAATCAAATTGCCCTGTGATAAGAGTCTATTGTTGAGGAATTGAAAATGACACAGTAAAATTTCAAGCCCTCCTCCTCCTCCCTCCTCCTCCTCCTCCTCCTCCTCCTCCTCCTCCTCCTCCTCCTCCTCCTCCTCCTCCTCCTCCTCCTCCTCCAGGGGAAGTGGAGATGACAGCGGTTCGTCGAGGCTGAGCCGTACATTCTCTCGTCTGAGCAGACATCAGTCCCGGGATCCACCGAGACCTCCAGCTCAGCCGGAGAGACTTCCTGCTCAGCAAGGTGTGTGTGTGTGTGTGTGTGTGTGTTGTGTGTGTGTGTGTGTGTGTGTTGTGTGTGTGTGTGTGTGTGGTGTGTGTGTGTGTGTGTGGTGTGTGTGTGTGTGTGTGTGTGTGTGTGTGTGTTGTGTGTGGTGTGTGTTGTGTGTGTGTGTGTGTGTGTGTGTGTGTGTGTGTGGTGTGTGTGTGTGTGTGTGTGTGGTGTGTGTGTGTGTGTGTTTGTGTGTGTGTGTGTGTGTGTGTGTGTGTGTGTGTGCATCCTTTACTGCTAATTATTACTGTAAATACTGAGCCCATATGATGTCAGGGAGGAAATACACTTTACATTCAAAGTGATCATCCAATGCAAACAGACCAAACAAAGCAGGTACATTAACTCAAGCCCCTTAAGTACAATTTGAGGAACCACTACATTTGAGAGGAAATTACTTTTTACATTACAACTTTATCTAACAGCTTAGTTTGTAGTTACTTTTCAGA